TTAAGAATTCAGTCCGTACCGCGAAGAAAACACTACACTTCACCATTGCAAAGATCAACTGGTTAACCTTGTTTAAGGAAATAATACGACTAAAACGCTAATTAACCTTTGGAGCCGAAGCTCTTTCAAATGAAACTTAAGAATCCAGTCCGTACCGCGAAGAAAACACTACACTTCACCATTACGAAGTTCAACTGGTTAACGCTGTTTAAGGAAATAATCGCTGTTTATTCTGAGAATCATACGAAATACATAAATGAAACACGAAGAATTATTTATTGTTGAAGGAGGTGGTACATATAGTTACCACTGTGCTTTTAGAACGTTAAATATAATTTTAGTTTTGCAGTCGGTTGAACGGTGTGTGGACTTGTACTGAAAATACCAACGTTTCGGAGCGACACACACCCTACTTCGTCAGGGCTGAAAGTGATCGTCCGAAACTTTACAAGTCCGAATGGCATTACAACCCAGAAGATCAACACGGACATCTTCACCGCTGCTAACAAAAATGTCTCTTGCTTTGCGGAAGTTTGGCGTGCTTTATTTGGCAACTATTGTCACCAGGTCAGAAGTGGCACACCCACAGGAAGATGATAACGCCGACTTTCCACTTCAAGATCTTGGACAACTTCGTGGAAGTGTTCTCGGAGAAGAGCGAGATTTTGGTCAGAAAGCTGCAGAAGGAAGTCGGATCTCAGGGCTTCGACGTGTATCCCTACATCACCAAGTGCGCATTGGACATTATCTGCGGTGAGAAAATACGCCCCATTCTCTGTGCATTGACACGCCATCTTAAGTTTTCTTAATTTAAAAAAAAAATTAAGTGCGCTACTGAAGACTTCATTCAAAGTCTGCTCTGTTCCAGAGACGGCCATGGGGACTCCCATCTACGCTCAGGACGACAGGGGATCGGACTACGTCAAGGCTGTGTACGAGTAAGTACGTTTTCTGAAAACATCGTTCCTTTTCTTGCTACGTCACTTTGCCAGGTTGTGAAACAAGGAACATTTACAATACTTTTATTTTCCGTCGTTTACACAAGCTTATTGTTAAAATCATATAAAATTTCACATAAAATTGTTACATTTTAAAATTGACGACATGTTTCGATATACAATCTTATCATCGTCAGGTCTATCAAAATTAAAATTAAAATCTGGTGTATCTGTTGCTCTGCTTATATTGATGATAAGATTGTATATCGAAACATGTCGTCAATTTTAAAATGTAACAATTTTATGTGAAATTTTATATGATTTTAACAATAAGCTTGTGTAAACGACGGAAAATAAAAGTATTGTATTGAAACACAAGCATGATGCAATTAAGATATAAGCTAAATTGAAAATCTTGTATTTTATAAGAAACAAGTTATGGTACCACTGCCATTACATTGCTAAATAAGACAGTGTCCATATGAAGTTGATATTCAGTTTTAAAATTTAAAGTGATTGGCCCTGTTTAGCATATAATTATTTCCCAGTCTTGTTTCTGTGTGCATTATTTTGAAAGTTCATGTTGTAGGTGAAATATCTGGTGTTCTCTTTTATTATCTGTTCTGTTACTCTCTGTGAGTGCTGTACTAACCAGTTACTTTACTTTTTATCCTACGTCATCACTGTCATCATCATTTATTGATATTTCTTCTACTTTCCTCTTCTTCCTTAAGTGTTCATGTTGTACCTTTCATCCACACTTTCCTTTGTCTATTTTGGATATCTTCTGCTTTGCCGTTGGTTTTTCACGTTTTGACATATTTATTTCTCATACTCTCAAAGGAATCTTGTTGTCTTCCATACATATGTCCAGGGCTGTGGAGTCGGGGTCTGTAAAAATGTACCGACTCCGACCTCGATATAAAATCTTAAGAAAATACCATTCTAACACTTTCACTACCGTGTGAGCCACCGGCGGCCTCACGCTTAGGGAGATTCAATGACGTGTTGAGCCACATGGTGTGGGAATAATGCTTTGTAACTTTGGCTCTGGTACCTTAAGAATACAAACTGTCTACAAATCAACTGATTTCTGCAATAATTATTAGATTTATATTTAAATATAGGATACTAAAAAGTAGCCTGATGATTCACGTGATGGTGATGAAATTTCTTGTGGCACCATTTACCACTTTAGTAGGTTTATCATTATTATTATTACATATTGAGCTTTTATGGAGGAGTCAGAGTTGGAGCAGGAGTTGGAGTTGGAGGTTTTAGTACCGACTCCACAGCCCTGCATGTGTCCATATTGTTGTATCCATAGGGTTTTGCTGCATATATGACATAAACCCATCACATATAATTTTGTGTACTATAGTGTGTATTTTTTGTGACAGTTGATATTGGTCAACCCTGTGTGCACTGTTGCTTATACAGTGGCCAGTTGGAGGTTCTTCCATGACCGTGTGTTCATAGAAGAGAATACTCTCCTTCACTTCTTTGGAGATGACTACTACCAGTATCAGAAACGCGTGAGCACAGGTCTGCCCTTTATACAGGGTTACAAAGTAGAGTTGTGAAAACATGTCATGTGTAGCACATTTGAGGAGTACATGAATACAGTCTTCTAGCATATGTTCTTCCATATATTTCTCACTTATTTTGTATAAAATATGGACGAAGTTGTGTTATGTGGCTTTTGAAATTTTGTTAGAGTAAATATTATGGTGATGAATCATATACTGCATAGAGAATTTAGAATAGCGATTAAAAATAGGGAGATGCATTTAAAATGATGTAAAAGTAAACCATTTTAGTGCTGTACTTACTGTATTTTATTGAAACTTTGAACAAAGCTATAGGAATCCGTATAGAGTATGGAGATAATCATTATGCATTAACATGCCTCCTTGGTGTTCATGGCACAGGCAGTATTAAGCATTCAGATTTTTGTAGGTCCTGCCCAATATTTGTGGTAACATTTGTTCCAATGCAGTAACAATCCTGCACTTTGGATCTGTAATGTAGCTTGGATGATCAGCTTGTCAGTGATGTTTCCTTTTAGTTCATATCAGTCCATTAGGACTACTTTACATAAGGGTATAAATCAGGGGTCATCAACCTGGTCCCTACCGCCCACTAGTGGGCGATTCAAGCTTTCATGGTGGGCGGTGGGGGTTTTTGTCCATTGTTACAAATTTTGTTCTTCCTCCATATATCGAATACATTGCTAACAACTTCGCGAGTTTGACTTTTTAAAATATGCTTTTGCAATTTACTTTTGAATTCCACCTCTAAACTTTGAATATAGATAATAATTCACCGGACACTTCTCGAAGTATACTCGTGGACGAGGGAGCAACGAATGAGCTCCGTAGCCAAAGGCATGAGTTTAGTGCGCATAACGAGTGTTGGGGTTTACCACCAGCAGTCACTCAGTCTTTGAGCTGTACCTCTTTCATGGTGGTGGGCAGTACGTGTGGCACCGGTGGGCGGTAAGGAAATGTTACCTTCAACAAAGATACAAAAGTGGGCGGTGGGTATAAAAAGGTTGACGACCCCTGGTATAAATAAATATTTCATTAGAGTACCAGTCACCAATCAGTTCCATTAGAATAGAATTTATTAACATTCCATAGATCCTTAATAGGCCTAAGCCAAGGATGTAGAACAGGTCATAGCACAAATACAATACTTGTTTCTAGTACAAATATAAATACATAGTTATAAGAGCTATTTACAGGTTTTTGGAACTACAGTATTACAGCAAAATAATTATGATGAGAAACCATCACCATTGTTACTTACACATATTTATAAATTCTTCTACTGAGTAGGAGTGAGATAGGACATACTCTTTTAACGCTGGCTTAAACATTTTTATATTGTGGTATTACAAATACATTGTTAGAAAACTACTCAGACTACCTAGATTTGGACATTCTCCCCAATTTTTATTAAGTGTATATATATTATGTACAAATTTTATGTGTAGTGAGCTGCTTCTATAGTGTAGTAAGGTTTATATTTAACTTATATGATCTAAAATTAAATTCACTTGATAGCTTCCCAGTTATCTGTTAATTTTATGAGATCTGTGTAAAAAATACAAAAATATATTTGCCCACATCTTTCTGTTAGTGCCATAAAACCTATGTGTTGCAGGTACCATACTTGTGGTTAAAGTAGTTCCACAAGTAAATTCCTGTTTATCACTGTCACTATGGTCTAGCTTGAAGACTGCCACAATTTCCTTGTCACTTCATGTGTTTGAAATAACTTCTGAATTCTCTGAAAAGCCAACCCATTCCTACTTATCCTAGGTGCACAGACAATAAACTGCAAGAAAACCTTGTTTCCATTTTCATCTGCATACAGGTAATAAACATATTAGCTTTAAGAGTTGCAAATCTTTGCATACATATACGTGTCTCTGAACACTGTATGTATATCTGATCTAGAGACAAAATTAAAGGAATGATGGACACTGATAAGGGGGTTAGAAACCACATTTAATAGTGACTCTTGTTGAGGTGACAGAAGTCTGACATGAATTTATTCATGATAAAGTAAACACAAAGACTGGCACCCATCCTTAAATTAGCACAAATCTGAATGTACTAACCATATTTAAATTACCAAACTAAATCACACAAAGAAAGTAGTCATGATATTACAAACACAAACTACATGGGCATAACCATACTTATATACAAACATGTAGTCGAAAGAGTGATAGTGGTTTCAGATATAATTACCCTTTCTTAGCAAATACATGGACACTGCATTTTTACTCAATTAGAAAAAGTTATATCACATTCTTATTTGTGTGTGCTCTGCATTCATGGAGTACCTCAACAGCAAAGCATATTGAAAACCAAGGACCCCTAAGCCTTGTTAGGATGCCTCGACATATACATGCCCACTGCTTTTCTAACTGTAGTGTTTGAGAAATACCAGAGGAATCGAATAGCTAATGAGGTTGCCTTAGTAATTGCTTGATATCACCCCCACCAGAAGTTTATGTGATTATGTACACGTAGTTGCTCGTATTTTTTAGAGGTGTCACAAATTCAGTCGACCTTCCACAGTAGATAGTCCGCATCATCGTGATGAGTTGCTAGCAACACAAATCGCACTAGCTTTCATCCGTGACTTATATCATCCTTGGGATCGTGAATTCTAATAACCCTGTTTCCAACAACGGTATTATTGCGTCTGCGCGTAGGGTACTTATTGTAGCATAATGGAAGATTTTGGTGAGGAGTTGGCGTATAGGACGAAAGGCTGCACAAAATAAATAAATATTACTTATTGTTTATGTTTGAGTTTACTTAAAGTGGTGTTTTAGATGACTGCAAAATATCAGAATCGAAATACTTCATATAAATGATTAAATATAGATAACCTTTGTGTTCACAAGGGAAGCAACCAGCTTTTGATATGCGTGCATTGAGTTACAAATCGTGTTTCTGGTGGACAAATTTCATATCTTGGAATTCTTTGTTCTGGTATAGTTAGTATGCATTGCGAGATATGGAGTTTGGATTCCGGGGTTTAAGATTACCTCGAAGTATTAATTGATTTTTGAGATGTTTGGAGGTTTTAGATTAACCAGAAGCATATAGTTCTCCAAAAGCGTTACGGCTTGTTGACCTGTTTATTGTCTAATCTGGTGGATTTTTTTTTCAAATATGATGCAAACAGTGCAGTATAGTCAACCTCCTCCTACTATCCCTAATATGTCAGTTCCACCTCCAATGATGGTGCCCCATCATTTTACCCAACATCGGTTCCATGGAGAGAGAGGTGCTCACAGAGGTCATTTCTTTCAACCATTCCGCCCTTACCCTCGTCCAGGTCCTGGTGGACCAGACAGTGAATTTGATGGGAAGAGGCTTCGAAAGTCTGTCATGCGAAAGACTGTTGATTACAACTCAGCATTAATAAAGATGTTGGAGGTAACTAACCTGTTCTCACATTAATATAAGTTCTTGAAAAGTATATGTTTGATAGTTTTGTTTTACATGTTACTCAGTAAAATAGATTGAATGCCCATTGTGCAGCATGCATTAGTATTACAAGGTTCATAATTATGTATATTAGAATTTGCCAATTTTGCTAGTAACATTGAAGTGGAATGAATAGGACTGATCTTATGGAAGTAGGAGTTTAATCCACTTTCAAAGTAGACTCCTCAGCATGTAGACAACTTTTTATATCAGTGTTGGGTATTACACAAACTTCTCAAACTAAGTTTTTGGATTTCCCAAGTGTTGCTCCATTGCATTAGCAAATTATTGCTCAATAAGCGACATGCTGTAGACAGGTGAATTGTGATGAATTTTCAACTTGTCTGATTTTTTTAGGCATTTAAGATGAATTTGTTGGAGAGGTCTTATCACTCGTAAATATAAATATTGATTAATAGTCTGAATTTATGGGCATACATTTGGTACACAATGCCCTTGTAATAAAATAAATAAATAAAAAAAACATTGAGCATTGCTTAGGTTTTGCAGCTCACTTGGCTTGATTTTTTGGTTATATTGAGAATGTGGGTTGCTTGTTTTAGGGTTATAACAGGTTGCTTGCTTCATTGCGTGATACAAGAAGGTTCAGGGTCAAAAGTAACGTGTTGTTTCTGATATTGTGTCAGCAGTTGATTTGAGACGTGTCCTTCATTCATGCATTCAGTCTTCATTTAGAATGGTCTTACATTAGCTGTAATAAGTTCTTCATCTTCAGCCATTTTGTGAATAATGAGTGTTGTCAGTTTTCCCTAAATAATTTGCTCGAGCTAATGATTCATTATATTAATTAAGGCTTCTAGAATGCACATTGCTTTTCAAAAAAAAAAAAATATTTTTAGAAGTATGAAATTATACACAAACTCTTGCTTAACCCATTGTTTTATATCAAAATAAGACTTGTACCAATCAGATTCTCATATAAAGTTTGATGCACACGTAAGTGATAATCCATGCACTGGCAGAAGTGAGCAGATAAAATGTTTTTTTTAGCTGTCTTCAGTCAGTAACAGTAATCATTCATTGTAGTGTTGTGACTAATTTACTCGGAAGTTTAGGAAAATAAAGTAATGACATTGATTAATGTGTAATATTAATATAACTGGCAGTAAAACTAGCAAGGACTAATACATAAGAACCTTTAAATGCATCATGCTGATGTCATGTTGTTTTTTAAGTTATTTTTATGTATAAGACCCGATCAAAAACTGCCAAGATAGAATCTGTGAAAATCGAGAAACTACACGTAGGGGTTGGTTTTATAGTAGTCCCTACAACATGTACACACCTATTTTATCATTCCTGCCAGTACAACTGAAATTAAATTTTAGAATTCCCAGCAGCTACTGGATAGCATTGAGCTCAGGTTTTTATACATTGTCAGATCTTTTGCCTTTTACAGTACTTTTGAGTTAGCCATACTGGAAAGTAGTGAGACTATCTCTCTTGTGGAATAAATTGCTGTAAAAGTTATGGCAGAATGAGCTGGTGCATTCTTCTTCTTCTTCTTCTTCTTAAAGTGCCTATCTGTTCCGGATGTTGGTGATCAGCATAGCTTATGCTTGATTGTACTAGGGAATTATAATGGATTGGTTTCCCGTTGCCTTCTCCATCGCAGTATCACAACCAGTGCATTGTCTTTATAAATTTACCATTTGCTGGTTACTCATTGTTTTGGCCGTTTGCAATTCATTTCATTATGGAAAAGTTGCAATATTTGTAAATAGAAATGTTGGTTAATAGTTTGACCTTATGGAGCATACTCATGGTGCACAGAAACCTAATAACCAAAGAAAACAGTCACAGTATTATGTTGGTCTTGCTGTGAACTGGTATGGTTTTTCTGGCTTTGCAAATAAAGGGAATTCTTATGTGATGTTTGCTGCTTAGTTTCAGTATCATAACCATAGAACCATGCTTCTACATCTGTTATGTTGCACAGAATGTAATTTTACATTGTTAACACAAAATGTATTGTGTGTCATAGAATTTTTGTTTCTTTACATATGTGTGTGTGTGTATACCACACTAGGTTTAAAAATATATATTAAGTTTTCTGTGATTTAAGACTTTAAAAGGGGTGAATGTAATATAATTGATTGAATCAATGTGGAAATTTCCATTCAAAAACAAAAATAATTGTACTGGCATTTAAAAAATCTTGGAGCAAAATTGTTAAATTTAAGTTATTTGAAACTTTGCTTTGTTATTTTGTCCTTGCAGACTGAATCTGTTCTTGCAAGTATGACACCCAAAATTTTTAAGGCAAGATGTTATACCAAGAGCCTCATAATGTTTAAAAATCTGAGAAATTGTTCTGGGTTTAAGAACTTACTTTGATCTAATTTCCCCTTTCTTACAGGATCTTAACCACATAGGAAGTCCCTCTGAAAGTGTTATTATTTCAGTATGAGTTATGGCTTTTCCCTCTTGTTTTTATATGCAGTTGAAGTCTGTTAAGAAAGTTTTTCCTTACATTATTTTACTAATTAAAAAGTACTATTGTCTAGAAATATGGTAGGGCATGTGTATGGACTGGATTCAGCTAAGAATAGGGCCTGATAATGGGTTACTGTACATATAGTTCAGTAATGGGCCTTTGGATTTTATAAAAGGTAGGAATGTTCTTATTGGCTGAGCAACTATCAGTTTCTGAATCATGTTCTGATCCATATAGCTAATATTCTTATGTGTTCAGTGTGTTTATATTACCATAATGGTTTCCTCCTAATAATTTTTCTTCGTTCTGCCACTTTTATATATCTGTAGATGGCTGTTTTGTGCTGTTCAGTGTATGAATTTCATTTATAGTGTCGTGTATGGCAGAGGGATTTTCGGGATCGGCGTGCATTGCAACCAGATGTGACATATTATCCAGACCTCCAGCCACCTCCTAGTTACATTGACAATGCCATCAACTCTGTTACGACACGCTTTGTCAAGACTGCCACCAATAAAATGCGCTGTCCCATATTTTGCATGGCTTGGACTCCTGAAGGCCGCCGTCTGGTGACAGGTGCATCCAGTGGAGAATTTACACTCTGGAATGGACTTACATTCAACTTTGAGACCATTTTACAGGTAATTTATTACTGCTTTGATTTAAAAAGTTAAGCAGATGCTGCATGTGACATTCATTATAAACAATGTACCATATCATCTTGTCACAAGTACCATCTGCAGCCTTTCATCTGGAAAATATAATTATATAGTAGTTGCATAAATATAAAGGTGCCTTTTTATCCACTGTCTTTTCTGCTGTGTTCTGTAATTAATTACATAAAAAACATTCTGATTGTCACATGTGTTTTAATGTTAGCCTTTCATCTGTAGAGAATTTAAATGAGGTTAATAACTTGAGGGCAGAAGATACAGGGATTTAAATTCTCAATAAATGCATGTGTGGGTGGAAAAAATTGTAATTTGAAAAAATGTAATTGTCAATTCCGGTAATATGAAAACATGATTTACATTACTTTTGAAGTAGTTTGGTGTGGTAGTCCTTGAAATAGGCAAAACAGAGGCTGACATCCTCATTAGCATAAACATCTGAAAGCAACACAAGGTTCTGTCCTCTGTCACAGGTTTCCAAGGTTCAAATGAAGATATTGGTTTGATACACCCCCCCCCCCCCCCCC